AAAGAAAATTCTTCTCTAGAATGAAACTCTTGCAGTTTTAGTTTTTAATATATTTTAAATGGACCATAATTAGGGTGACCAGATGTCCCGATTTTGGCGGGACAGTGCCGCTTTTCAACAATTTGTCCCCAGTCCTGCAGCGTTTTAAAAAAGTCCTGATTTTTGGAAAGAATGCACAAACGGGCTGGAGAACAAGGAGGGAATATACGGTTTTCAGCTGCCATATGGCTATTTCACCAGAATATGAGTTTTATATTATTTTTGTTAATTTTATAATGTTAAACTGTAATAAATAATTGCTGAGAAGTGATTATGGAGAACTGCTTATCAAAGTTTGCGTTGTTGTCAGGCCCTGCCTGCCCCTTCGCCTCCCCGGCTCCGTCCCCACTCTGCCCTCCAGCCACGTTGTCCCGCCTTACAGATGTTAAAATCTGGTCACCCTAACCATAATGAACTTTCAAATATTTAAAATGCTGCTAAAAATGCTTCAGATCCAGCTGTGATGGAGTAGCCCTATTTTAAAAAAAATTGCCATTGACAGTTTTTTCAATAACATGCATTTTGACTGACAAATCAATAATAAAGTGGAACATACTGTTTAAAATAATCCTTGAGAGTTTAAGCTTTTTAAGTTTAAGAAGGAATTCTATGCCAGGGCACATTTCCCCTCATTTTAGGCAGGACAAGAGGACCAGAGGGGAGAAACTGATGAAGAACAGGATTGAGAAATCCCGCCTGAGTGGACTTGGGAGGCCACTATGAATGTAAGGAAATGTTTCACTATCTTTTGGGAGTTCCAATTTTCTTTCTAAGCTTCTTGTAAGCTATGGATTCTCTCCTCAGAATGAAAATGCTCTAACATTCAAACTTTTGCTTACAATTTTAGGAGATTTGGTGAGTCCCAGAGACTTTGGTGTGAGAGATACTTATACTTTAAAAAGCAAACCCAAAATGCTCCAATTTGTCAAAATCTTCCGTAGAGTTGTAGTAATGTACAGTCAAAAGAGCAAGAATGCCAGCTAGGAAAATCATTCAGGATTTGGCTTGTCATCAGAAAATGTCCTCTTTTTCATTATAAAGTTCTGTGTATGTATGTGTGGGTGGGGGTGAGGGGGGATAGAGAGAGAGAGAATGAATTTGTGTACAACCAAACTGATTAATACTTTTAACAAAAGCTCTTTAAATAAAAATGACAACCAAAGACGGGGAATCTTCCGCTTTAGGGGACACGTCTTCCATTCCTCCTCCAAATTTCACTTAGCTGCTGAGTTCATTTATAATGAATAAAATACATATATAGGACAACATTATGGGTATTTAAAAATGATGTCAAAAGCAAAAACTTATTAAAAGTCTCACTGACTTTTTTTTCTGTTTTCATGTCTGGTGATTATGTATTTTGAACACGTAAGGTATTAAGATAAAAAAAGAGCATGCGAAGCTAGCTTAACTATGACTATACTCCTTGGGTCATAGTTGATAGCAAATGATATCCAGTAGCTTAATTAAACTAAAAGCTCAGATTGGGTCTCAAGTGTATTCCCCATCAGAAAACAGTGATGTTGTCCAATAGCGATGAAATTCTGATAGTAATGTATTCTTTTTAAAAAATATGAAATTAAAAGGACAATAGAGACATAACTAAAATCTTTAAACACAATAGAGTTAAAAATGTCTAAAGCTCCCTGCCTTGCCCACAATTCCATACAGTGTAAGAGGCAAGGTGTAGTCTAAAGAGGAAAGGGATGGTGGAGATTATGGAGACAACAGGAGCAGTTAAGGATTGCATTTCTGATGTCAGCTCTGCGAGAGAGATTGGTTAGCTTGAGCCCATACTAGAAATGATTGCCAACCAGCCACAGTACCTCTCAACAATGTTGCCGTTTAGCTTCACCTTTTTCTCCTCAATGCCTTGTTAATTTCTTATTTCATGTACTTTACATTGAATTTTCAAATTCTCTGTTTTAAATTCACATTTGTTTCAATGTGATGCTTTTGTAAAGACTCTATGAGTTCAATATCCAATTTAACTTTTTTCTTGGTATGAAATTTAGCACTAACATTTTACAGGATTAATTCATTGTTTAGAAATAATCTAATATGCGGCCCTGTTGTCAGTGTAGAAATTCAACATGTTTCCATGAAGGTCTAGTAGAAAGAGTGAGTTTATAAAGCAATTGATACTATTTCATAATGAAGTAATTTTGTAAGGCATTTACATTATCTTTCTTTCGATTCCTATGACAACAAAAAATAAAAGAACCCCTAACTAATCGTATGACAAGAGGGCAATACAAAAAATTTTTTTTTGAAGCAAACACAATTTGATTTTCAAGGTGTTCCGATATTTAATAATGGTTTGCTCTTATCCGTATTTTTTATGTGCTTCTTTGATGAGATACAAATTTTAGTAGGGAAATAAGCAAACATTCCTAAAAATAAATTACAAAGAACTGTGTTTTAGAATACTTAAAGGATTTTTAAAACTTTCAATTCAATAAAGTTAATATTTTCCCTTAATTGAAATAATGAAAAAAACCAAAAGCATAGACACTTTCATTGCTTGAAGGGGAAGGGTCTTCATGCCCCCAGGGTCATGTTCCTCAGCAGCCATTGTTGGGATCTGCTCCCACTACAGTCCTGCATGGTCGGCACCATTTTGTCCTCTTCTGAAGGTTCATCCAGACATTGATTACTGTTAACATGTCTCAAGGTGAGTCTCTGCAAAAGATAACCACTAGTCAGTGCAGCCTATTTCATATTTAACTTCACTAACACATGAGATTAAATCTGTTCTTTGAAATCCTTTCTGATTTTTTAAACCATAATACACGGCGATATATTTGTAAAAGAAACTCTGCACAGGTGTCCCTGGATTAATTATTATACCACTTTGACTGTGAGGGAGTCATCATTGTCTAATACACCTTTATTTGCAGATGGTTAAAGAAATTGGCCGACATTTATCTAGCGTTGCCAAGAATTCAGGCTCCTTTGAAAAAGCCTATTTGTGAGCTCTGAGTTCAGCTGAGGACTGCAAATATTAACAAGCTTTCACAAAAGCTTAGTTTTCTTAGGCATGTGTTATTCAGTAACCATTTGGTAAACATGCAAATAGATGGCACAGCTGTGACCCAAATGAACAAAACTGCTAGAGATGTTCCCATTTCAAAATACTAAACAAGCCATAGTATCTGTGACTGTAAGACGTTCATTGTAAAAGAGTGATTATCATAGTAACAAATAATCTGCCTTGTTTGATACAATGCTTGCTGTACTTTGGTCTGCATTTTTAAGGATCTTGAAAACTATTAACATAAAAAGGGGTAAAATGATCATATAGTTTTAAATACTATATTTACACTTTATTTTATTCATAATTCCTATAATCATAGCATTTTATCCAGTCATTACACATCTTCTCTTTAGAGTTTCTACGTATGTTTGAAATCAAAAGTTTGGAATTTCCAGAAATACATTTAAAATTAATATTGTTTGCGCATATTAATTACATAGACAGTATTTCTGCTCAGTTTCATAGGTAATCCCTAGGACCATATTCCTACATCTCTTCAACCAGAAGAGAAGTGTTTGAATGCATAGGAAATGATCTGCAGGTATATTTTAAAAATAGCTCTTCAGACATTTTTGTTGCAAATTACCAAAATTAAAAGTAAACAAAAGCTTTTCTTTTTATGTTTGCTCTTGATATTACATGAAAAATTGGATGAAAATAAGTGCCTGCTGGGTGGGCAATACAAATGTTAGAGAAACGTCAGCCAAAGAATTGTAATTTGTCTATATTAGGAGTGAAAATACCCTGGACTCCACTGTTGTGAGAAAAGATATTATGAACAATAGGCTTGTAGTGGAAGAGGCTTCACAGAAAACAAGCAGGAAATTAAAAGAGCAAGGCTATTAGATATGAAGATTTCAAGATTGGGACCTTTGTTATTCCTCTTTCAACACATGGAATCAAGCTATTTATACTGAGAAAGGAATAAAGGGAGAATTGGCCACAGTTAGGCAAGAGGATGGTTGATTTCTGCTCATGTTCCCAGAACTTCAACCAGCAGCCAGCTTGAACAAAAAAGGGTACAAAACTCACAAAAAAGGTAATTTGTTTCTAAAAAATTCTAGCTAAATCAATGAAAAAATTATTAATTTTTGTTGAACGCCTGACATGCTTTGGGTATCTAGTCTCTTTCACAAAAGATCACTCACCATTGCACGCTTCAGTTGGGTTCTTTTTGCTTGTAAAGTACAGTTTTACACATGGCAAGGATGTTAGTACCCACTGAGCCACCCCAGAACGCTCTGTCATTGTCTTAATCGAATCTGATCACACATCACAGTAGTTGAAGGCTTTGATCAATTATCCCTTACCTTAGGTCGAAATACAACACAGACTTTGAGTATATGTGTTGCTGAAGCAAGCACACAACACAGGCTTTGAGATTTTTCTTTAAGGATCATATGGAACACGTGTTGTCATCTGTACGAATAATGACAACTTAAAAAAAATTAAAGGTAGTTCTTTCTAAAATGCATATTTCATTTGAAGGAATTCAATAAGAGTCAAAACACACTGCTGCAAAGATAAAAACCAACTTAGGAGGTCTCTTCTTTGATGTACTGCAGTACAAAATGAGACATTTGGGTCTCAGGTAGACCAATGTGTGAATTCCTAGTCCTCCACTAACTACCTGTGAACACCGGGGCAAACTACCATATCATTTTGAGGAGGCAGATTATTTGTCAGAAAATATGAAAATTATGTCTACAAATACTTACAAATACCCTTTTTCCTACTTAAAAAATCTGACCTTCAGTCAACTATCTAACTCTGATCCCTTGGCAACCTAATAAAGGTAAAAATGTTAACTATGTTTCTAGGCAACAATGTTTATGGTAAAAATGACTTCTGACTGATAAACTATATCTTTATCTGATAAATTGCATAAAAATACCAGATGGAGAGCAAAATGTCGGGCTTCTCTATGTGCAAAGATTCTCGCGATTTTATATGTCCTATTGGGTCCTTGGAAGCTCAGACTGCAGAGTTGTTGCAGGAGATATCGCCTTCTGCAAGGATAAGGCTATTAGGCCAGGACAGTTTGGTTTCCACACCTGTCTGATGGGAATCTCATCTCCTTGCCCCAGGCTGTCACCTGTGAAGAAGCGACCTCCCAAGGGGCTGTCAGAGCTGCTGTGGGAGCTGCTGCAAGTTCTACTGAGAGAAGTGAACTGTGGTCTCTGCCACTGAGTACTACGGGAGACTTGTGAGAGAAAATGTTTAGTGAAGCCTAAAAGCCCTTGTCAAGCTTTGCTCATACTGGGTACTGTTGCTTTGAAAACAAACTAAGATACTATGCATAAATTGGCTGGAACACAGATTCTTCTTGTGCAAAGGTTATGGACTTTTCCAACTTTTATGTTTGGAAGCTCTTTATCTTAAATGCACTTTTAAACTAAATGACACCCCTTTCGTCTTCCCATGTCCATAACTCCAGGCCCTATTTTGTCACAGGCATACAAGTTCAATTATTTCCTCCACTAATTGAGCTTGTTTTCAGCTGAACCAGAAAGACTCTCTCACTTCCCTTGTGCTCTCATACCGTGTTTGATCAAGTCAGATCTCTTATTTACTAGATAAAAAGCCCCTGAAAATCAGGAACAGGACATGTTCTTATTTTCACTCTTTACAAAAATTCCATACCAGTTTGTTGACTTGAACTGAAAATGGATTCATTTTATTGTTTACTGCAAAGATAGTCACCAGTTAGGAAAGTAAGAGATATTATACGAAGTATGATTTTAAAAAAGGTTTGACTGTTATATCACTTAGCTGACCCAAGAAAGGCTTAGAAATAATTTTCTGTATAAACTTAATGCAAATTACATCTTAGTCTTTAATAATGCATTTGCTTCACATTTCATATTAAAGATATTACACATTTTAGAAAGGATATGGCATAACATCAAAGAATCTGAATAAAAACAAACAAAATTAAAATAATTTTAGTGCCCCCAAACAATCCTTTTTTGGCTATTTTTTTTTCCAGCTCTGCTGCAGAATCTATTATGATTCAGTCATGGCTATCGACTAAACAAAGATAATATCTCTTAATATTTTCCATTAATTGTATGTATGCATGTATATTTGAATGCAGATAAATCAGGAAAATACCTCTTCATTAATGACATACTAAACACTGGTGCGTATATGCAGTCTCCAAATTAATGCACAGCTAAGTAGAAGACATGAAAATACTTCTATAGAGAAATAATACATAACAAGACGTAATAAGACATGCATTATTTCTACAGAGAAATAATACATAAACATTTTTCTTAACTATATATTAAAGAAGATTCCAGATTTCAATAACCAAACTTAAAAATACTACAATAAAAGTAATAAAGTCTGTAGCACAAACCTTTAAAAATTATTAGAGAACATAATCAGTAGAATTCCCAAAAATATTTCTAAAAACTTCCATTCTTGTATGGTTTCTTAGGAACCATTTTTGCAAAATGCTATCATTACATGTTTCCACAATAGGCTGTTTGGAGCCATCAGCTACTTTGTTCACTGAGAGACAAGACTGGGTGATTATATGAAGAAGAGTGTGGGTCTGTTTGACAAAGAAAACAATGAAAAAATGACAAAATCAAGTAGAAAAGCGGTAATAAATCAATCATCCTGGGCAACATACAATTTCTACTGGGTGAGGATGGGAGGCACATGTCATAATAATTGCATCCATGGAGCTGTGAGCCACCTTCTTTTAGTTGGCTTTAATAGCAGTTGTATTCAGTAGGAGTAAATGAAGATAAGACTGAGAATATGGAGAGCGGCTTGAGTTTAAATGATGAAACATTTGGGGCAAAAGATTATTTAGATATAAAATATTATATTCTCAGTATTCATCTTAATAATAAAATGCCTTTTGGTACTGAATGAGTTATAGACATTCAACATAGTTAAACTAGTCCAATTATGGTCATTAGTCTTCTCTTCCTTAAAATTGAGTGAACACCATAGAAGAATCTGGGATGGATAATTTTGCTTTAATACTTTGCTTTACTGCATACAGTGTAGTCCCCAAATTGCGTCCACATGTGGTTTCACAGGACTAACCTGGTAGTTAACGAAGGGAAGAAAAAATAAAAATATCAGATCTATTTGAGTTGTTAACTAGTTCTAATTCTCCAAACACAATTTTAATCAATTCATTAATTTGTCTATTTCTTGCTTTCCATCCATTTATTGCACAAGAGCAGAAGCTCCAGAAAGGTCACAGACCATGGATAACTGTATCATGAAGCCCAGTGCCTGCCTTGGGGATGCACTACATAAGTTTGTTGAATGAAGCACTTAGTTCAAGGCCAGTGCAGCAAATAAATCATGTTAAAATTAAACTGTATCTCTTGGACAGCTTACTGGATACAAACCACTGGACTTACCTTTTCAAGGATTTATCTTCTATGATAAAATGGTAGGTAAATAACTTATAAAAATGTGAAAGGTAACATTCTAATAGATCATGTTTTTTCTTCGTAAAATTATATTGTTAACTATATAGTTGGATTTGTTAAGGAGAGTAGTTCTTTATTTTTTAACCAAACCTGAATTTCCCATCTATACTGTTTGAAATTTCAAGGCTAGATCATTCTCTGCCCTCAGTGATTTTTCTTCTTGTGCTGAACTTTTCTCG